TTTTTTTTTTTCATGAAATTTACAGGAGACTTACCTTTCTATGTCCCAAATAAGCTGTAATTTTTTCGAAAAAAAAAATTAATTTTCCAAGGTAATATTAACAAAAAATCGAAAAATTACCCATAACTTCAACCTAAAAAAGTAATGTAAAAATTCCCGATATTCGAAATTTATAGTATAGGGTTTTCTTCGTTGAAACGTCTACTTTCAGATGGTGTATGGATATATATACCTAGCTTTGCAAAAAAGTGCCAAAAAACGGGAAAAACTGAAAAAACTCCATTTTCGAAATTCGTGTTTTCGGCAATTGTTGAATATAGGCAATTTTATGGGAAAATGTACAGTTAAAATCATCTATAAAAGGGAAATGTAATGTGACATTAACAAATGTAATAAGAAAATTATAATAAAATCATTTTTTTGTACAAAGTCTGTCTCGAAAACCAATTAACTCTGTTCAATTGAGATAACTTTCACTTCTCTAAAACGGTCCTGACTCATACTTAGTGAGAGTATTAGAAAAAGGTTCGTATCGTATATTATATGTAAGTGAACACAAAATTTTAACGAAAAAAACAAGGACAAGATAATAAAAACATTATCAGAAAAACTGCAACAACAAGGATTTTTTTGCAAACAAGCAGCGGAAGATGCAGATGCTGAGATTATTAATACGTCGATCGAAATTGCAAAACATAATAAAACAGTCATTGTTGTAGGCCAAGACATCGACCTTTTAGTCCTTTTAAATCAGCTAAATTCAAACAATTACAATATTTATTTTCACAAACTCGGCTCGGGCAACGTTAAAGATTTGTTTTACACTTCACACAGTTTTAACCATAAATCCGTCAAAAGTATCGTAGCACTCTTGCATTGCTTTTCTGGGTGCGATACGATATCTGCATTTGCAGGCAAAGAAAAAAAAACAACAGTGAAAGCGTTGTTGTCCGATAAAAATTTGTCGACTTTGGCTGATGTTTTTTATAAGAAAGATGCCGAAAAGGAAGTCATTGCTAAAAATGGATTGCAATTAATTAAAGCAATTTATAAATGCAAAAAAGACAGCATGACTTTGAATACATTGCGAATCCACAATTATCAAGCTGCAACTGTTAAATCATCTTTTAAATTAGAGAAATTGCCACCAACCGAAGACGCAGCGAAGCAGCATTGTTATCGGGTATATTATCAACTGCAAACATGGCTCGGTAACGAACTGACAGCAACTGATTGGGGCTGGAAGCAACATGCTGGTGGAATTATGCCAATTTTTTCTGACAACGATTTAATTCCGGCTATATTACTTAAAACTATTTTTTGCAATTGCAAAACAGGATGCAACAGTAAAAAATGTAGCTGTCGAAAACACGGCCTTAAATGTACTAGTTTGTGCAGTAATTGTCATGGTTCTGACAAATGTACGAATGTCGAAGAAACAACTTACGAGGAATTGAGTGATTCTGAAGGAATCCTTGACGAAGAACCGACACAAACAACACGAAACGCTAATGAAGACGAGGACAACGAATGCGGATGACAATTGATGATTTCATGACAAAAATGCGGATGAAAGTTGTGTGGAGTCCGAAGACGAATTGCTTCCTTCAAAAAAAATTAAATTAATGTGAATTTATTAAATACACTTTTTTATAGCAACAATATTGGCGTACTCATTTCATTTTGCGAAAACCACATTTTTCAACTATTACATTTGTTAATGTCACATTACATTTCCCTTTTATAGATGATTTTAACTGTACATTTTCCCATAAAATTGCCTATATTCAACAATTGCCGAAAACACGAATTTCGAAAATGGAGTTTTTTCAGTTTTTCGCGTTTTTTGGCACTTTTTTGCAAAGCTAGGTATATATATCCATACACCATCTGAAAGTAGACGTTTCAACGAAGAAAACCCTATACTATAAATTTCGAATATCGGGAATTTTTACATTACTTTTTTAGGTTGAAGTTATGGGTAATTTTTCGATTTTTTGTTAATATTACCTTGGAAAATTAATTTTTTTTTTCGAAAAAATTACAGCTTATTTGGGACATAGAAAGGTAAGTCTCCTGTAAATTTCATGAAAAAAAAAAATTTTTTGCGCGAGAAAAAAATTAAAAACGAAAAACACGGTTCTTTCCATTTTTCTCAGAATCTTTGAGGTTATGTGAAAAATGATATATACAAAAGTTTTAGATCTTTTTAATACCTACAACATTGCCATACAACATTTTTCGATTGGAGGTCAACTTTCGCCGGAAATGACGAAAAACCTCGTTCAACCCCTAAAACGCGCCCCCCTGCAGCCCCCCTACATTTTACGTTGTTGGATTTTCGGTTCCTGTATTCCTGACGGCAGTTTCTTCCCTTCCTCATCATTCGTTTTCTGTTATTAATTTTTGCCCTTTTTCATTTCATTTTGGGCTATCTGTACTAATAGGTATGATGAAATATATCACTTTTTAGATTAACGAACAAAAATATGTAAAATTCTCTAAAATCTTAATGCTTTTATTTGTAGAAAAACATATTCCATAAAAATTCGAGGTCAGTTATCAACAATTTTCTGAAAAAAAAATCAAAAGTAGCTACTTTTATTCAGCTGAAATCACAAAACTAATATAACAAACTGACATTCTAAAGTTCGTGATTAAATGGAATGCAATGAAAATACGTACATAAAGAGTTAGTATGTTAAGGAGTTGTGAGTATAACATAACCTAAAAATTGTAAGCTCCATAACAAAGACTTAACCTAAACGCATAAAGTCATGTTCCCTTAATTCACTAAACCGCCGCGTAGAAATATCACATCTTCACAATCAACGTTTTCGCTTTACTTCAAATGATCGTCTATGTGAGTGACGACGATGTTCGGCAAATGGATCATGTCTTTTCAAGTACCAACAGTAGTCTGCCATCATCCTTTCATCGTATCTACCCTGATAATGTCGCTCTTTTTGTTTCATGTCTTGATGAAACTTTTCTCCCATTTCTTCACTTTTACTTGCATTATTTTCTGGAAATCTGTCCAAGTGTGAAAAAAGGTAATGTAATTTAGAACTCATTAAACAACCTAACTTTTCAAAATTAGATAACATAGTGGAAACAATAGTTTTGTAGTTTGGATCGCGATAATTTCCTAAGAAATTTTGAACAACTTCTTTAAAACTCAACTAGGCATTTTTCTCCGCAGAATTCATATATGTAAGAAACTCATCATCTTTCATGAGGGTTCTTATATCGGGTCCTGTAAAAATACCTTCTTTAATTTTTGCATCACTTAAATTAGGAAATTTTGATTTGAGATACAGAAAACATTTATCATTTTTATCCAGTGCTTTAACATATTGCTTCATTAATCCGAGCTTAATGTGAAGAGGTGGTAACAAAATATTTTCACGATCTACAAGACTTCCATGAATGACGTTTTCAGAGCCAATATCCCATTTTTTTGGCCAATCCTGTTGCGTATAATGTTTAGTTCGTGCATGACTGTCCCAAAGACAAATGAAGCAGGGATGTTTTGTAAATCCTTGTTGCAGACCGAGAGCCATTTGGATCATTTTAAAATCACCGCAAATAAGCAATTTGTGAGAGTTGTAATCAATTTTCTCTAAAAGAAATTTGAAACTTTCGTAAGATTCTTTCATTACAGTAGAATGAGCAATTGGGACTGCTGCAAACTCATTGCCGTTATGGAGTAGTACTGCTTTTAAACTTTCCTTAGAAGAATCTATGAACAAACGCCAGTCTTCTGGTTTGTACATATCTGTTTTATATAAATTTACTAGTCCTTTAATATCATTGCAGTATACAAGAAAATTTTCTTTTGAAAAAAATTCTACAAACATCTCATCTCTTTTTCTGTACGCTGTTATCTTTGTCCCAGGTAACAGCAAATGTCTTTCTTTAAGTCTTGAAGCAAATAGTTCAGCTGAATTTTTGGGAAGATTAACATCACGAATAAGATCATCCAAACCACCTTGGTCAAAAAATATCGGATAGTCATCGCTTGATGAATCTTCAAAATCACTTGTTGTTTCTTTTTCTATGTCATCCATATTTTCAATGGAATCTGCGTTATTTTCTTCAGATCTTTCTATTTTTCCTTTTTTAGCAGACGTTACGCTCTCAACATTAGGGTATTCAATTTTTTTTTTATTCTGTTTGTTGTAGCCACTTACATCGCATAAGCAAAAATAACAGTCATTTTCGTGATTTTTAGGCTCGCGCCAAATAGTTGGTTGAATAACGGCCTCTGTTTTTATTTCATCCCATCTCCCCAGATTTATTCTGCAAACATTACAAATTGATTCAGATACCCATGTTTTATCTAAATTTCTCATTGGCTTATTATAACATTTTAGGTATTTTTCTTTTATCAAGTCATTTATTGTTCTACGAAAATTCTGTGGTTCAAAGTTGCCACAAACATTGCAAAATTTGTTTACTTTATTTGCACAAGGAGTTCTGTTGATTTGCATTTTACTATATATTTTTGTTCACTTTTCTGCATTTTAAAAATTAAACTGACCAACACTCAATCCCAAAACCATAAACCTTACTTTCTTCAACCTTCAGACTTCGTCACACCTAAAACTCACAAAACCTTTATTTCGTACCGAGAGTGTAGGAGAAAGAGCGCAGGATCACAAAACACAGTACGTTTTCTTCATTAAACTTAAAAATTGGCACTTAATCGTCCTTATAAATTACAACTATACTTTTATTCGCCAATGTAGTACTCGCACAAATTTTGAGGTATCTCACATTTCGTAACGCGATGTGAAAATTAAATACACGTAAACTTATTGTAAATCGGAGTTCTCTAATGAAGCAGTGCAATGTTGCTAGTACAAAAAGGTCGAACAATTTACTTGCGAAGTCAAATACGCACCGAAATTCCGGTACGCGCGATGTTTATTTACATCCGATTGTTAATTTTCAGACATTGAACAACCTTCAACCACCAAATATATGAAAACCTGACAGTACTTATTCTACGTGACGATAACCAGAAAAATCTATACAAACATTTTTACACATAAAAGCATTAAGATTTTAGAGAATTTGATATATTTTTTGTTTGTTAATCTAAAAAGTGATCTATTGCATCACACCTACGCTATATGATTTTTCAGATATAGGAAAATTTGAAATTTTATAAATTTAAAATTAAAAAATCTCAGCGGAAAAAGAAGATATTTGAGCAAACTCAACGCCATTTGAAAGCGGAAGACTTGTACTTTAAGACTCTGAGTGAACTTTTTTGTAAAAATTAAGCCTGCCGTGTATATATGACCTCAAACATGGGCAAAAACGGTGTTTTTTGCACTTTCCGCTCTGGATATCTCAAAATCCTGACGTGATAGAGCAATTCTGCGGTCAGATTTGGATTTAGCGCACCAAAAACCTTCAGAAAAGTGTTGTCGGGTTTCTGGATAAGGAGGTCGGACTCATTTTGTTGACCTGTGTAATTGGTCGAAAGTATAATTTATCGAAAGGATAATTGATCGAATAGACAATTGATCGAAAGAACAATTGATCGAAAGAACCACTGATCAAAATGACAGCTAATCGAAAGGACAAACAAATGCACTGATTTACAAACAAATTCGGAATGTTCCATTTGTTGGTGTGAGATAGATCTCACTTAGCGTGGAAAGTGTATGCGTAGATGCAGTAGGTTCCGCCCCCCCTGCGAGAGGGCTCCACTACTGTTACAAATAACCTAACCCAACCCATTTTGTGGTGTGAGGTAACTCTCGCTTCGCGTAAAAGTCGAAACTTATGTGCAACAGTACAATCATGAAAATTGTGTACCCCCTTGGAAGGGGAAGGGGTTTGCGTAGAAAGTCAAAATGTTATAAACAAATTAACTGTTTCACAGACAATTTCATTGCTTTACAAACAAATTCACCTCTTCAAAAATATATATATAATTTTTTTTAAGGGTAGTAAATTTGTCCTTTTGATTAGTTGTCATTTCAATCAGTGGTTCTTTCGAACAATTGTCCATTCGATCAATTATCCTTTCGACTAATTATCTTTTCGACCAATTTTCTTTCGATGAATTGTCTTTTCGATCAATTGCCTGTTCGATCAATTAATTTTTGACGAATTGTTTTCGATTAATTGACCGGGTACGGGATTCTAAACCGACAACCTCATAGAAATGCCATTTATTCTTATTATATCTAGTCACCTATAAAATATAGAAGATGCAAAATTGAAAACATTTCTAAATAATGTGTTTTTACATTAACGGTCTTTAGTATTGAATATTGTTTATTTACGCGCCTGAAAGAAAGCGTTTATCATTTCACACATATCAGGAGACGCGGTAGTGTCTCCGGCCATGTTCGAAAACTAAAAGACACTACAAGTCTCTTTATCCCGAGCCACCAAAGTCCATTTTTCGGAGGTGCATAACTACTAAAATATAAAAAATTTTGTATCGAACGTTATACATCCTAAAAGGTGGCATCGCCACGAGTAATTTGAGCCAAAAAAACTTTTAATCGGTCAACCCATTCTGGAGATACAAGCGATCGAAAAGTGGTGATTTTAATGAAAAATTAAGAAACGTCTCTTCCCTCTCTGTCCGCATTCAAGGCCGTATTAAAACCTTTTAACATCCCTTCTCACCTTTCACTCACATCTCACATCTTTACCACCTTCTACTTACCGCTCTCTCCCCTCCTCTCCCCTCCTCTCCCCTCCTCTCCCCTCCTCCTTCCACCATCACCCACCCCACCACCCCTCTCTTTCGCCGTATTTCACTCTCTTTCGTTATATAATATTTTTAAATCATTTTTTTATGTATTTGTGATATATTTGTACTCTAAAAGGTAAGTAATATCCGAACAAAATCATATCATAAAAATGAAAAGTTTAAGCCATGTTCAAAAAAGGATACTCAAAAATTTAAACCTTTTTATAATAACATATTACCTTATTAATTTATAATTAATATATTTCATGGTAATAATAATATATTACCATGAAAAGTAACTGATATATTAGATATTAATTAATAATGCCAGTATAAAGTGAACATACCATACACTTTATGTAGATAAAAAGGTTTAAATTTTGAAGTATCCTTTTTTGAACACGGCTTAAACTTTTCATTTTTATGTTACTAGTTATTGCGAGGAATATTACTAAGGCCTCGATAGTCCAATTGGCTAGGACACTTGCGCATAAAGCAGGGTATTCGGATTCGATTCCCGCGGCCGAGGTAATATTTTTCGCAATAAGAATAATTTTCCAGATTTAGTATATTCAAATTATTAGATCGAGTTGCGTTTCAAGACCGACGACTGTTTGGCGCACTATTTGGGGGGATTACGTACTATATTAATTAATTATTAATTTAATTAGTGATAGTATCGCGGTAGCTTATATATAAGCGATTAAAATGTCCAAGCTAGACTGTTATAGGTAATTCGTATTAGTTGTGTTATCACATTAACGGTCTTTAGTATTGATAATATAAAATAAGGCCCAATATAAGTATAAAACAATATGAGTAATAATAAGGGCAATGAGCCAAATACTGAACGCAAGAAAAATTTTTCAAATTAAGTATAATATAAAATTTAAACATTAATACAGACGTTTCGACTCCGATCGGGTCATCTTCAATGTAACAAACATAAATAAATTATAAAATTTCGGTGTCGCTAATCAATAGATAATGTCAGGAAATTATTCGCATATTGAAATTGTAGTCCATCATGTAAGAGTTAATCCAATACAGTAAATTCAATCTAATAAAATTTATATAATTTGTCATAAGAATCTTAAATAGCATGTTAAACAAGTGTTAAAAGATAGTTACCTTATTAAAAATTGTGTAATAACTAATGTCAATGATGTAAAATTCCATGATGTGTGAAAAATACAATGTCGTCAATGATAAAATGTTATAACAATTCAGATTTAATCCAATTTACAGCTTTATCGACTTCTTATGTTAATGTCAAGAAACGCAATGAAGAAATAAATTCTTTAAAAGAGGCAAAAACCAACTGAAAACAGTCTAAGAGGTAGAGAAGGACTGTATCATATTTGTGTACATATCGGGCAATGACTCCGTATCGTTTTGTTTATTTATGCCATGTGTCTGTTTTTTAATATAAACCATTTCGGATATCAACCTCTTTTTGTAGGAAGGTTCCACATCTAATACTTCCACATTATTCCAATTAAAATAATGATTATTGTCTATTCGATGGTTAGTAACAACTGATGGAGACTTTGATAATTTATTGATATCCGAGATGTGTTCTTTGAGTCTAGTTTTTAATTGCCTCTTAGTCTGCCCAACGTAACTAGCATCACAATCACTACACGAAATTTTATATACAACATTACGATTTTGCGTATGTTCCAGTTTGTCTTTACCTCTCTTTAATATAGCTTCTAAGTGTATTAGGAATAGTGTACGCGAGTTTGCAGTTGACAGAATTGACAATAGGTGTAAATTTTTCTGAAATTGATTTTACAAAAGGAACAGTAAAAAACTTTTTGAGACCAACATTATTAT